TGACATTAATGTATACAGTCCTAACTGACATCAATGTATACAGTCCTAGCTGACATTAATGTATACAGTCCTAGCTGACATTAATTTATACAGTCCAAGCTGACATTAATGTATACAGTCCTAGCTGACATTTATGTATACAGTCATAGCTGTCATTAATGTATACAGTCCTAGCTGATATTAATGTATACAGTCCTAGCTGACATTAATATATACAGTCCTAGCTGACATTAATGTATACAGTCCTAGCTGACATTAATGTATACAGTCCTAGCTGACATTAATGTATACAGTCCTAGCTGACATTAATGTATACAGTCCTAGCTGACATTAATGTATACAGTCCTAGCTGACATTAATGTATACAGTCCTAGCTGACATTAATGTATACCGTCCTAGCTGACATCAATGTATACAGTCCTAGCTGACATCAATGTATACAGGCCTAGCTGACATCAATGTATACAGTCCTAGCTGACATCAGTGTATATAGTCCTAGCTGACATCAATGTATACAGGCCTAGCTGACATCAATGTATACAGGCCTAGCTGACATCAGTGTATACAGGCCTAGCTGACATCAATGTATACAGCCCTAGCTGACATCAATGTATACAGTCCTAGAACATAAGAAAGGAGGAACACTGCAGCAGGCCTGTTGGCCCATACTAGGCAGCTCCTTTACAATTCATCCCACTAACAAAACATTTGACCAACCTAATTTTCAATGCTACCCAAGAAATAAGCTCTGATGTGCAAGTCCCACTCAAATCCAACCCCTCCCACTCATAAGAATGTAGTTATCCAACCTAAATTTGAAACTACCCAAAGTGCTAGCCTCAATAACCCAACTAGGTAGACTATTCCACTCATCAACTACCCTATTTCCAAACCAATACTTTCCTGTGTCCTTTCTAAATCTAAACTTATCTTATTTAAATCCATTACTGCGGGTTCTCTCTTGGAGAGATATCCTCAAGACCTTATTAATATCCCCTTTATTAATACCTCTCTTCCACTTATACACTTCGATCAGGTCCCCCCTCATTCTTCGTCTAACAAGTGAATGTAACTTAAGAGTCTTCAATCTTTCTTCATAAGGAAGATTTCTAATGTTATGTATTAATTTAGTCATCCTACGCTGAATGTTTTCTAACGAATTTATGTCCATTCTGTAATATGGATACCAGAATTGAGCTGCGTAATCTAGGTGAGGCCTTACTAATGATGTATAAAGCTGCAGTATGACCTCTGGACTTCTGTTGCTTACACTTCTTGATATAAATCCCAGTAATCTATTTGCCTTATTTCGTACGCTTAGGCATTGCTGTCTTGGTTTAAGGTTGCTGCTCACCATAACCCCCAAGTCCTTTTCGCAATCTGTATGGCAAAGTTCTACATCATTTAACTTACAAATGCTAGGGTTATGGACACTCCCGAGCTTCAGAACCTTGCATTTATCTACATTGAACTGCATCTGCCACTTTTCTGACCAAGAGTAGAGTTTGTTTAAATCCTCCTGAAGTTCCCTAACATCAACGTTTGAATCAATTATCCTACCTATCTTTGTGTCATCGGCGAATTTGTTCATATCACTAGTAATTCCCTCATCAAGGTCACTGATATATATTATAAACAACAACGGGCCCAAGACTGATCCCTGTGGAACGCCACTTGTTACAGATCCCCACTCGGACTTAACCCCATTTATGGACACTCTCTGCTTCCTGTCAGTGAGCCATGACTCGATCCATGAGAGCACTTTTCCCCCAATGCCATGAGCTGCCACTTTCTTTAACAGTCTTTGGTGCGGAACTCTATCAAAAGCCTTACTAAAATCTAAGTAAATAATATCAAATTCTTTATCGTGGTCAACAGCCTCAAAAGCTTTACTGAAGAAAGTTAATAAATTAGTTAGACAAGACCGGCCTCTTGTGAATCCATGCTGAGTATCATTAATCAAGCTATGCTTATCGAGATGGCTTCTCATAATCTCAGCTATAATTGACTCTAGTAATTTGCCTACAATTGAGGTCAGGCTTATTGGGCGGTAATTTGACGGTAACGACTTGTCCCCTGTTTTAAAAATAGGAATTACATTAGCCATCTTCCACATATCAGACACTACACATGTTTGAAGAGATAAATTAAAAATATTAGTTAATGGTTCACAGAGTTCCATCTTGCATTCCTTAAGAACCCTTGAAAAAACCTCATCAGGACCCGGCGGCTTATTTTGCTTCAGTCTGTCTATCTACTTCACAACCATTTCACTAGTGACTGTGATGTTACATAATTTATCTTCTTCTAGCCCACTATAAAAACTAATTACTGGAATATTGTTAGTGTCTTCCTGTGTAAAAACTGAGAGAAAATAATTATTTAAAATCAAGCACATTTCATTCTCTTTGTCAGTAAGATGCCCATAGTTATTTTTAAGGGGACCTATCTTATCTCTAACTTTTGTTCTATAGACCTGGAAAAAACTTTTTGGGTTAGTTTTAGAATCCCTAGCAACTTTAATTTCATAGTCCCTTTTAGCTTTTCTTATTCCCTTTTTAATGTCCCTCTTAATGTCAATATACTGATTCATAAGGTGACCCTCACCTGTTTTGATACGCCTATAAATTCCTTTCTTATGCCCTAGTAGATATTTGAGCCTATTATTCATCCATTTTGGGTCATTTCTATTTGATCTAATTTCTTTATACGGATAAACGTTCTTTGAGCAGCATGTATAGTGTTCAGAAAACTGTCATATTGATAGCTCTCTTCGTTACCTCAGTCAACAGATGATAAGTGTTCTCTAGCCCATCGTAACTGCTAAGCGAAAATCTGGGACTGTTACTGAGTTATCGCTACTATCGTACTTCCATTCAATGCTAAATGTAATTGATTTGTGGTCGCTAGCACCCAATTCCTCTGAAATTTCTAAATTATTAACAAGGGATTCATTGTTTGCCAGAACTAAGTCAAGCAGGTTATTTTCCCTTGTAGGTTCTGTCACAAACTACTTCAAAAAACAATCCTGAACTACTTCTAAGAAGTCGTATGATTCTAAATTCCCAGTCAAGAAATTCCAATCAATATGACTAAAGTTAAAGTCTCCTAGAATTACTACATTATCGTGCCTTGTGGCCTTAACAATTTCCTCCCATAGTAGTCTCCCTTGGTCCCTATCTAAGTTTGGGGGACGGTATATCACTCCTAAAATCAGTTTTTCATGCCCCTCTGAAATTTATCCAAACAGACTCTGTATGTGTTACCTCAGACTTAATACCCGTTTTTATGCAACAGTTCAAGCGATCTCGGGCATACAATGCCACCCCACCCCCCTTCCGACACTTCTATTACTTGGAAAAATTTTAAAACCCTGAATGTGACATTCCGCAGGCATGTCCCGACTTTTTAAATTTAAAACCACGTCTCAGTTAAGGCAAATGCATCAATGTTACCTGCACTAGCAACTAATCTCAACCCCGTCCATCTTATTCCTAGCACTAGGGTTTATTAGCATAATAAACATTGAAAGACTCTCCTTTCTCTTTACCCTTCCTGCTCTTTTCTGTTTTTCTACTAAAACCTTTTTACTGTCCTTACTGGCTTTTCATATCTCCCTCGTTCTGCTTATTACTAGTTCCCCTGAACTCATAATATTACTACACTGGGATTCACTTTTTTCCTGCCAAACCCCATACCACTAACTATTCCTAGTTTTAAAGTCCTAACAGCTCCCTTCACTGCAGTTGCCAGTGCCCCCCACCCAGACCTAGATAAGTGAACCCCATCCCTGGCTTTACATGTCATTTTGCCATAGAAGAGGTCCCAGTTTTTCAATGAATGTTACCACATTTTCCTTACAGTATTTGTCCAGCCCGCAATTGACACCAATTGCCCTGGACAACCATTCATTTCCAACTCCTCTCCTTGGCTAAATACCACATATGACAGGGTGCCCACCCCCTTTCCCCCTAATTATTTCTATTGCTGGCCTATACCTGCTAATCAGGTCTTCACTCCTATGTCTGCCAACATCGTTGCCTCCCGTACTGGGGAAAAGATAACAGGATTGCTCCCCTTACCTCTCATGATGTCATCCAGACGGCAAAAAAATATCCTCCATCCCAGCCCCAGGAAAGCAAACCCTCTGTCTCCTACTCCTTTCCTTCAAGCAGAAAGCCCTATCCATATACCTAACTTGGCTATCCCCAACACAACAATATTTTTACCATCCTTGATGTCATTCGTCCCTGATGTTCCCAGTAGTCGACTCACATTCGTCGGGTAGAGTACTGAGAATTTTATTAGATGTTTCCACAAAAAGTTTCCCCGGCAGTCTCTTTCTTCTTCATCGTTTCTACCTTTCCATTCGTCTTCTTGATCGTCAACTTCGTTCCCTGCTGTCCAGCCACTGACCAGTTTCCCTTCTTGACCTGAGGACTCAAAAAAGGAGGACTACTACGAATCTTCTTGTTTTCCTCGGTCAGTCGCCGAATCTCCATCTTCGCCATCCTCAATTCTTCCTTAAGCTGTTGGTAAAGTTGCTCGATGGAGTGCATCTTGCTTCAATTCGTAGAGAGCGCGCAAACAGGTCTTCACAGAGCTAAGTACACGTCACCACTGACATCAATGTATACAGGCCTAGCTGACATCAATGTATACAGGCCTAGCTGACATCAATGGCGTATTACTCTATAGAAAGCCGCTTGTTATGCAGAACATTTCGGGCAAATTAGGTCAGTTTTGTCCCAGGATGCGATCCACACCAGTCCACTAAGAACCAGGTACATATTTTACTGATGTGTGAACATAGACAACAGTTGTCTTAAGCAAACACTTCGTAATGTTTTCCAGCTGTACCGGGGATCGATCCCCGGGGGCCTGAGTGTCAGCTGAGGAAAAAAACAATTTGTTTTGTTTCTTTTTCTTGTTTTCAAAGTATCTCTTAACGTTTTTCAAAAAATTTCATTCGTTAGTTTTATTTAATTATTTATTGACAGGTTGATGCCGGAAAAGCTAAAGCAATTGGACTTTCAAACTTCAACAGTCAGCAAATTGAGAGAATTGTTAAAGGTAAGTGTTGGGATAAGTGAACAGTCAGTCAGTACAGCAGTAAGTGTTGGAAGAAGTGAACAGTCAGTACAGCAGTAAGTGTTGGGAGAAGTGAACAGTCAGTACAGCAGTAAGTGTTGGGATAAGTGAACAGTCAGTCAGTACAGCAGTAAGTGTTGGAAGAAGTCAACAGTCAGTACAGCAGTAAGTGTTGGGAGAAGTGAACAGTCAGTACAGCAGTAAGTGTTGGGAGAAGTCAACAGTCAGTACAGCAGTAAGTGTTGGAAGAAGTGAACAGTCAGTACAGCAGTAAGTGTTGGGAGAAGTCAACAGTCAGTACAGCAGTAAGTGTTGGAAGAAGTCAACAGTCAGTACAGCAGTAAGTGTTGGAAGAAGTCAACAGTCAGTACAGCAGTAAGTGTTGGGAGAAGTGAACAGTCAGTACAGCAGTAAGTGTTGGGAGAAGTCAACAGTCAGTACAGCAGTAAGTGTTGGGAGAAGTCAACAGTCAGTACAGCAGTAAGTGTTGGGAGAAGTCAACAGTCAGTACAGCAGTAAGTGTTGGGAGAAGTCAACAGTCAGTACAGCAGTAAGTGTTGGAAGAAGTCAACAGTCAGTACAGCAGTAAGTGTTGGGAGAAGTCAACAGTCAGTACAACAGTAAGTGCTGGGAGAAGTCAACAGTCAGTACAGCAGTAAGTGTTGGAAGAAGTCAACAGTCAGTACAACAGTAAGTGTTGGGAGAAGTCAACAGTCAGTACAGCAGTAAGTGTTGGAAGAAGTCAACAGTCAGTACAGCAGTAAGTGTTGGAAGAAGTCAACAGTCAGTACAGCAGTAAGTGTTGGGAGAAGTCAACAGTCAGTACAGCAGTAAGTGTTGGGAGAAGTCAACAGTCAGTACAGCAGTAAGTGTTGGGAGAAGTCAACAGTCAGTACAGCAGTAAGTGTTGGGAGAAGTCAACAGTCAGTACAGCAGTAAGTGTTGGGAGAAGTCAACAGTCAGTACAGCAGTAAGTGTTGGAAGAAGTCAACAGTCAGTACAGCAGTAAGTGTTGGAGAAGTCAACAGTCAGTACAGCAGTAAGTGTTGGGAGAAGTCAACAGTCAGTACAGCAGTAAGTGTTGGGAGAAGTCAACAGTCAGTACAGCAGTAAGTGTTGGGAGAAATCAACAGTCAGTACAGCAGTAAGTGTTGGGAGGAGTCAACAGTCAGTACAGCAGTAAGTGTTGGGAGAAGTCAACAGTCAGTACAGCAGTAAGTGTTGGGAGAAGTCAACAGTCAGTACAGCAGTAAGTGTTGGGAGAAATCAACAGTCAGTACAACAGTAAGTGTTGGGAGGAGTCAACAGTCAGTACAGCAGTAAGTGTTGGGAGAAGTCAACAGTCAGTACAGCAGTAAGTGTTGGGAGAAGTCAACAGTCAGTACAGCAGTAAGTGTTGGGAGAAATCAACAGTCAGTACAACAGTAAGGGAAACACTTGCCTCATGTAACATCAACTTGTACCTCACTGATATAAAGGTTCCGATGAGGTTAGACGGGCAATTTTTGTCGTGTAGTAAGTGTGTTGTAGCAATTTTTTTTGTGTCACAAAGTTGAGCCTGTTAGAGAACAACTTGTGTGAATTTCTGTTTCGAGATCGGTAAAACGGCAAGTGGAACTCAAAAAATTGTTTCAGCAAGCCATTGAAAAGTCTGGTCATCAATGAACTTAAAAAAAAACAGACACCGACAATTAAAATACAACATAGCGATCGTCCACCACCCGTCATACTCATCGGATCTAGCCCCTTATGGCTTCTTTCTCTTCCCAAAAATATAAATACCAGCCATGGGGGGGGGGGGGTGAAGCGTTTCAACGACGTGCAGAAGATTCAAGCTGAATCACTGGCTGCACTTGACATAATTAGGAGAGAAGAGTTCCAGTAATGTAGATAAATGGTTCAGAGAACAAACATGTGCAACACTTGAGTATCTTTACTGAGGAAACGTTCCGCCACACAGTGGCTTCATCAGCCCATACAAAGGAGAATGGTGAAGAACAGGAGGAGTTTGAGGTAACCAGTCACTCAACCTTGAGTCGATGTAATCAGTCGACCTAATGATCGGTGGACACTGTTGTAGTCCTTAAGATGCACTGAATGAGCCAAGGGAAGAGATGGATACTTGTTCCCATTGTATAGAAGTACAGTTTTTAGGCTTCTGGAGGAGCTGTCAATGAAGAGTCTCCACTCATCTGGATTGCATGCAATTCCAATTGCATGAAATAGGCCTGATACATCATTACAGAAGCACAACCTGTCTTCATTAGTGAAGAAGGTTGAGAAATAATGGTGACGTTTTCTTTGGCTTGTCACTTGCACACTTTCATCCACCAAGTCCCATTGAGCCTTAACATCAAAAGCTCAGCATTTGTCTTTGTCAAACCAAGGTCTCTGATAAGGTCACTGAGGTCTGGTAGGTTCGGGTAGTAAGGATTCCTCCCAACAGCTGCATCTGTAAGATCATAGTCTTGTTCACTGAGCTCTTCATTTTCTGATTTGCTGCTTTCTTCTTCTGACGGTTGACTTCGGAGGTGTAGGTACAGGAAGATCACCACTGTGGTACTGGTGCAATAGAAGAGGGAAGGTCTGGATAAGAAACAGCAGGTGCATTTTTCCCAGTTCGGTGTTTGGAAGGATCTACCAGACAGAAGCAGCAGTTGGTTGAGTGATCAGTGGGTTCACGTCATATTATAGGAACACCAAACTTCATGACTCTTTTTTCTCCTCTATATCATCCTGTAAAAGAACAAAAGAATTAGTTTCTGTTACATTTCATTTAAAAAATGTTCCTATTCAAGATTGTACCCTTCATATAACTAATGACTTTCTTAGCTTCCAATGTTTTCTTACAATGTTGACAAGCAACATGAGGCGCCCAGGTCTTGTCTTGGTCCACAACTGACATGACAAAATATGATTTGTAAGCTTCACACATTGTTTTAGATGTTGTTACAGAGAACTTCTTTGCTCTTGTCTTAGTGAATTAACCACATATGTAGCAGAATGTATCTGGAAAATGACTGCCGCCTCTTGATGCCATTTCACTTCTGATGTCTTCTCAGGCAGCCAGAGCTGAACTGAATGCTGATTTGCTGAGTCCCTGTTTTTATATTTGCCAAGAAAACCCCTAAAACAATAGTTTTACATCAGTCTTACTTGAAAGTGTTCCAGAAGTGTCCTGACCACAAAAACAAAGTTCTGGGAACATAATTGTGTTTTTTTTTAAATTTTGTTTAGTTATAAAGAATTATGAAATGACGCTTATTTCACAGGAACATGACAAAAGTGAATTTTTTTATATAGTGTTATATTTAGGAATGGATTCAGGGTAACTATTTTGGCGGATTTGTTTTCTGGAGATGATTGTGCTTCCTTGAACAACAGTACCATCATCAGAAACAGTTGATGTGTTAAAAAGAAAAGTTTGATTTAAATATGATATTCAGTTTTCATTATTTTATTATCTAAAAATATCATTATTTAATTTAACTTTATAGGCCAAATTAATATTAACCTCAAGAGATACCTGATAATTTTTCTGAATGTGTTGTTCTCAATCCCATCAGTGGCACGGATCCAGCCAGCTAATTTACAAGTGGAGGTTCATGCATATCATATGCAGAAAAATCTGAGAGGTGTATGTCAGAAGTTTGGAATTCCTGTTTGTGCTTTTGCACCTCTAGGAGCTCCCTACAAAAAACTGGGGTAAGTGCAGCGTGTGTGTGTGTGTGTGTGTGTGTGTGTGTTGTTATATATATATATATATATTATATATATATATATATATATATATATATATATATATATATATATATACAATATATATATATATATATATACACAAAATATATATATATATATATATATATATATATATATATATATATATTATATATATATTATATAATATATATATATAAGAAAACAGTCGCAGCTGGGCGATCTTAAGCATGGAAGACAAGCCACGGGTTGGGGGGTGGAAATCCTTAGCTCAAATACTTTCACACTTCTCAGTGCGTCATCAGGAGCTATGCAATTTTGCAAGAGAGCAACTAAAGCAGGGAGAGATTTCTCAGAGTAGCATAGTGCGGATGTGTCACCGACCACAGTTACCTTTACAATGGCCGATGCCAACCCCACCCTACCACCATCACCCATATGGGGTAGGAGGGCTTCTGAGATGTCAAGTATGAGATTATAAGACATAACAGCCAGCCCCAAGCTTTTTCTAGTCATTTATACCAGGTCATGTGATTTGAGAAAATCTGTTTCTCGTTGGATACTATACACATGGCTTGCTATTATTCTGTGTAACCCTTTTAAATAATAAAAAAAAGGAATAGAATGTGCTCTTTATATGTTTAAATGATCTAGAGTACTGGAATGTTCTGTCGAGGTACTCAGAAGTATCTCTTCGTAAATATTGTCTACTATTCTTCTCATTGTCGGTTAATATGCCTGACTTGGGAATCTTCTACGCCTTTCCGATAATATTTCTTTGATCTAAATTTCTAATTTCTACTAACACCTTACTGGAATGGGATTCTGTCCAGGTTATAGTACCAAACAGTTCTGTCATGGAAAGAAACAATTGAATCTTCCCTCTTGAAACATGAGAGGAACCCAGTATATAACTCAAATTATGGGTTATACAAGCTTGAATATTATTTAGTAGAGTCCTAGGCCCTTTTCTCTTTCTCATATACATAAATGACCTACCAAATGCATCGCAACTACTCAAACCCACACTATTTGCAGATGACACTACATACGTCTTCTCTCACCCGAGCCCAGTCATGCTAGTCAATACTGTAAATACGGAATTACAGAAAATATGAACCTGGATAAGGACCAACAAACTTACTCTAAACATTGACAAAACCTGCTTCATTCAGTTTGGTAACAGAGCTACAGATGTGTCTCTTAACATAATGATAAACGGATCACCTATCACAAAACTCACAGAGGGAAAGTTCTTAGGAATCCACCTTGATAATAGACTCAAATTTCAAACACATATACAACAAATTTCCAAAAAAAATTCCAAGACCGTAGGCATACTATCGAAGATACAGTACTATGTTCCAGAGTCAGCTCTTCTGGCCCTATATCACTCACTTATCTACCTCTATCTCACCTATGGAATTTGTGCATGGGGCTCAGCAACAATAAACCATCTCAGACCACTAATTACCCAACAAAAGGCTGCAGTCAGAATGATAACAAATTCCCACTACAGGCAGCACACTCCACCAATATTCAAAACTCTAAACCTACTCACATACAAAACATCCATACTTATTACTACACCTATTACATACATAGAACACTTAACTCTGACATAAACCCTCCCCTCAAACATCTCCTTGCCAACCTCAACAGAACACATGACCATAACACAAGACACAGATCACTCTTTGATGTTCCTCGTGTCCATCTCACCTATGTAAAAACTCAATGCACATAAAAGGCCCTAAAATCTGGAATTCATTACCTGTGAATATAAAAGAAACACTACCTGTTTATAAATTCAAGTCTCTTCTCAAAAATCACTTACTCATCCACAACTAAATAAATACTGAATAAGTATCTCATAAATTGTATCTCGTAAATGTTTCTCATTATTGTATCTCATAAATGTCATCCTGTGACCCAATCAAAATTTGTTACCATTTAACTTCATTACCTAACATAATAGCTCCATTCTACTGATTACACAGCAACACAGTAAATGACCATATGACCTGTCTTTGTAATACTCATTTGTACTAAATTGTTATCTGTTTACAATAATTTTTGTACCACTGAATATATCATTGCTTAGTTAATCTTAAGTTAATTTTAAGCTGCCCATAATGCTCGCATACAAGGGACTTTGGCATGCTGCACTTTAAAAATTGAATTCCTTGTACTTCCCTGTATCATGTTCAAATTAATAAATAAATAAATAAATAAATAAATAAATAAATAAATACTTGACATCTCAGAACCCCTCCTACCCTACATGGGGAGTAGGGGGAAGGTGGTAGGGTGGGGTTGGAGCCAACCGACCATCCTAAGAGTAACTTTTCGTGCGGTGCTACTCCGCATATGCATACTCTGATGAACAAAAATTCTTCTATTCCCTGGCTTTTTGCTTACTTTCTAAAACAATACATATTTAAATAATAAACTGAGAAGTGTTGAAAATATATATAAGATTATTTCATACCACATATATATATATATATATATATATATTAATAATATATATATATATATATATATATATATATATATATATATATATATATATATATATATATATATATATATATATATATATATATATATATATATTCTTTTAAGAATATTTTTGAATGGTAGGTAGTTTGTAACAATGAATAATTTATGCAATGAAATTGAGTGGGTGCTTAAATTAGATGGAACATGCGAGAATACATCTGACTTTTTTTATCAATTATAGTTGAGGCATAAAATACAGTACTTATTTTTTAACACTTGTTATAAACTAACTTTCAGAACGACTGACTATCCACCTCTTCTGGAACATACAGTTGTGAAGAAAATTGCAAAGGATAACAATAAAACTACTGCGCAAGTTCTTCTCCGCCACTTGGTTCAGCACGGGTTAATTGTTATTCCCAAGGCAACTAAACCAGAGCATGTCGTACAGAATTTTAAGGTAAAAGACCATTAGAACATAAGAATGAAGGAACACTGCAACAGGCCTACTGGCTCATCCTAGGCAGGACTCTCAAATTCTACCATTTCCACCCACGTATTTGTCCAACCTATTCTATAATGTACTTTTATTGTCAGCTTCAGTACCATTCTCATTCGTATGTTGTCTAAACTATTTTTAAAGTTCCATAATGTTTTAGAGTCTATGATCCTACTTAGCTCCTCCATTCAACGACAACTCTGTATGAGAACCAGTACTTTCTGAAGTACTTTTTAAATCTAAATTTACCGAATTTAAATTCATTATTTCGAGTTCTTTCTTAATTCGATATTCTCAGTACTTTGTTCATGATAACGACTAACTCTGATAACGACTCATGATAACGACTGCATGCCTTCAGTCGTGTAAACATAGTCAAAGCTTGAACATTAAAATGGTATAAAATACCTAACTGTTGCATATGTGTCTTACCTAACACATAGTCAAAGCTTAACCAAGCAGCAGAAGGCTTGATGGGGAAAAGTGGCAGCAGTCAGACTGGGAACAGCTGTTAGGCGCATAACTTCAGGAGTTATGTTTATTGTCTTATTTGGAATGACCTATTCTTAACATCTGGAAACATATCTTTGGTTAAATACGTGAGTTGTGTATTGCTGTCGAAGTCTTTGATGAACTGTTTCGCAAAATCTTGGACTTGGCATAGTGAGACTTTACGGTATATGGGACAAAATAGGTGTATTTGACAGTTCCACTGCAGAGTGGAGAGTTGAGTTCTTTGGCAGCAAACATGGCGTTCTTCTTCGAAGGTGTAGAGAAGAATCGTAAGTTTTACCAGTTGAGGCCGGGAGAGGGGTGGTATGGTGGTCGACTTCAATTTCTTCTTCAGAGGTGTGACAGTCTTGATCTTCTGGTAGAGTTTCAGTGGGTGTAGAGGTGGTCTGGGCAGGTGGTGTGGCTTGGGAAGCTGGTACATCAAGAGTAGATTGGGCGGCTGTGGTTGAAGGATCTGATGGAATGGTGATTCCTCCTTTTGAGAAGATTTTTCACTATTTCTAGTGATGGTGCAGTGTTAGGAAAATCGAAACTGAGAAGGCTGTTGAGGAGGAAGAGTTCATTTAATGTGGAGTTGAAAGTTCTAAGGGAGGCGGTGTTTTTTATGTGAACCTACGTCATGCAGTACATGATGTTGGGTGGAGCGTCTTCTGCGAGTGTTGACATAATATTTTACAGCAGAAATAAGATGTTGGGTAACTTGGAAAGTATTCTGAGTGTTGACTTAAAGTCTAGTGATTGCACCCCAAGTCTGGGTCTCGAAGCTTTTCTTTTGGACGATTTCCTTCCTGAAAAAGCACCTGGCTGCAAGAGAGTGATGATCACACGTGCAGTTGTAACATTTTGGTTGAGAGGTGCAGTCTTTATGAATGTGTCTGTGCCGCAGCTGAACCAGTACTTCTTTTCCTCCATAGGAAGTCTTGGCGAGATGGGTTATGCATAGCAGTTCCAACAAAGAGTGACGTGGTAGAATCGCTCTGGTTCTGTGTTCGGGAATTAACGTGGCAATATGAGATACATAAACCTTCAGTGAGTATCAGAGATGTCATGGGAATCTCATTAAATGTGACTCTGATTATAGAGTTGGCAGTAGGAATTACTGTGAAGTCGACGGTTGTCCAGTCATTTTCCTCCTGGAGTTTACCTGGAGAGAGTTCCGGGGGTCAACGCCCCCGCGGCCCGGTCTGTGACCAGGCCTCCTGGTGGATCAGAGCCTGATCAACCAGGCTGTTGCTGCTGGCTGCACGCAAACCAACGTACGAGCCACAGCCCAGCTGATCAGGAACTGACTTTAGGTGCTTGTCCAGTGCCAGCTTGAAGACTGCCAGGGGTCTGTTGGTAATCCCCCTTATGTATGCTGGGAGGCAGTTGAACAGTCTCGGGCCCCTGACACTTATTGTATGGTCTCTTAACGTGCTAGTGACACCCCTGCTTTTCATTGGGGGGATGTTGCATCGTCTGCCGAGTCTTTTGCTTTCGTAGTGAGTGATTTTCGTGTTCTTTCTCGTCGCCTGTTGACTGGCGTCACAATGAAGCTTTTTTTCAAGAACACCGATTTCTTAGCCGTCATCACTGGGGAAGTAGCCACTTGAAAGTTACAGTCCTTGAAAATGTTCATAGCCGAGATGGTAATGATCTTGTCTGCATCGTTATCATTAAAGCAGATGATGACGAAAGTCTTTAGTAGTGAGAAGGTTGGACAGTTTCACCTGTAAGAGTATTTTTCGTAGTGTCCGAGATGGTCACACGAAGTGGGTGAATGCGCAAACGGTACACCTTGACGATGTTGCTGATAACCGATGAGTTTAGAGTTTAATATTTCCATTATGCACCCCATACCCATCCCGTGGGTGGTAGTCAAAAGATTGCAAAGGTATATAATGGGTCCTGGGACTGGGTCACAAAGTTTTGATAGATGAACAAGTTACAAAGGTAATGAACTCCAGGTAGATCTGGTCACAATCATGACAGATTATAAAGGTAATGAATCATCTACACGTCTATACATGATTATAATCATGAACAAATTCCAAAGTATTGAGCCATTCACATGTCTACACCCGGTCGCAACTGTAATGAGTTATTAGTGTAAATATTAATTGAGTACTCACCTAATTGTGGTTGCAGGGATCGAGGCTCAGCTCCTGTCCCCGCCTCATTACTGATCACTACTACGTGTGTGCAAGCACGCACACACACACGCACACACACTTAAAGGCAGTGGGACCGGACATCTCCCCGTAGGTCCTTAGAGAAGGAGCTGCGATGCTGTGTGTGCCACTACCCACAATTTTCAACACATCCATTGAAACTGGGCAACTACCTAAAGTATGGAAGAGGGCAAATGTAGTCCCCATTTTTAAGAATGGAGACAGAAACGAGGCACGAAACTACAGACCAGTGTCACTGACGTGTATAGTATGCAAAGTCATGGAGAAGATTATCAGGAGAGTGATGGAGCACCTAGAATGGAACAAGTTTATAAATGGCAACCAGCATGGATTCATGGAAGGCAAATACTTTGTCACAAACCTACTGGAGTTTTATGACAAGGAAATGGAAGTAAAACACGAGAGAGAGAGATGGGTGGGTAGATTGCATTTTCTTGGACTGCAAGAAGACATTCAACACAGTTCCTCACAAAATATTAGTGCCAAAGCTAGAGGATCAGGCACATGTAACAGGAAGGGCACTGCAGTGGATCAGAGAATACCTGACAGGGAGGCATTAACGAGTCATGGTACGTGATGAGGTATCACAGTGGGCGCATGTTTCGAGTGGGGTTCCACAGGGGTCAGTCCTAGGACCAGTGCGATTTCTGGTATATTTGAATGGCATAATAGAAGGGTTAGACTCAGGAGTGTCCCTGTTTGCAGATGATGTGAAGTTAATGAGGAGAATTAAATCAGATGAAGATTAGGCAGGACTACAAAGAGACCTGGACAGGCTGAATGCATGCTCCAGGAACTGGCTCCTCGAGTTTAACCCCGCCAAATGCAAAGTCATGAAGATCGGGGAAGGGCAAAGAAGACCGCAGACAGAGAATGGGCTAGGTGGCCAAAGACTGCAAACCTCACTCAAGGAAAAAGATTTTGGGGCGAGTATAATACGGAGCACATCTTCTGAAGCGCACATCAATCAACCAGATAACTGTTGCAGCATATGGGCGCCTGACAAACCTGAGAACAGCGTTCCGATACCTATGTACACCGTGTACGTCAGGCCCATACTGGAGTATGCAGCACCAGTTTGGAACTCACACCTGGTCAAACACGTCAAGATATTAGAGAAAGTGCAAAGGTTTGCAACAAGGCTAGTTCCAGAACTAAGGGGAATGACCTAAGAAGAAAGGTTAAGGGAAATCGGCCTGACGACACTGGAGTACAGAAGGGTAAGGCGAGACATGATAACGACATATAAAATACTGGAAGGAATAGACAAGGTGGACAGAGACAGGATGTTCCAAAGATGGGACACAGAAACAAGGGGTCACAATTGGAAGTTGAAGACTCACATGAGTCAATGAGATGTTAGGAAGCATTTCTTTAGTCATAGAGTTGTCAGGAAGTGGAACAGTCTGGCAAGTTATGTAGTGGAGGCAGGAACCATACATAGTTTTAAGACGAGGTATGATAAAGCTCATATAGCAGGGAGAGAGAGGACCTAGTAGCGGTCAGTGAAGAGGCGGGGCCAGGATCTGTGTCTCGACCCCTGCAGCTACAAGTAGGTGAGTACACACATGCGCGCACGCGCACACACAAGCACCCACAAAAGTAGAATCGTGTGTTATGAGTGATGTAAATATCCATTTCGCCTTTGTTTTTGCCTGTCTTCCACTTAATATGTTCCGTGATTCTTCGTCTCTCAGGAAAGTAAAGATTCTCGACTCGCAATCCATCCTCGTGTGAGAGATTCCTTATACACTGGATTAATTTTGTCATCATCTGAATATTGTCCAGAGCAATAATATCCGTTTTGTGGTATAGTGGACCAAAACTGAGCTGCATAATATGAGTGAAGCTTGACTAGTGGCGTAAACAGCCCAAATAGTTTATTATATCTACAAATTGAACAGTAAGGGTCATGTGCAACACCAAGAATCTTTTTTGACGAAACGGTCGAATACACTGATAAATTACACTGACGGAGAGATCAACTTCGGTGGAGACGAAGTGAAGGAGTAGTCTGATGTAATCAGGTCATCCATCTTGGCGCAAAAATAACTCAGGAGAGGAGTGTCATCAGTTACAGAAGGAGTGTCAGGGTTTAACCAGCAGCAGATGTCGATGACAATGGACGAGGGCAGGAAAGTAGTAGGTGATGGTGAGGACCAGCAGGAGGTGGAGGTAGACAGGGTGTTTTAGGAGGCAGCGGAGTATTGATCTGGAAATTAATGGCGGAATGATGGTTCAGAATCCGTTCTCGAGTCTTGTAAAGGTTTCTTTGGGAAGGTGGTATAGGTCTGATGGAATGTTTAAAAGACTGATCATGTTGTACCAAGGATGATTAAATATTTACATCAAACTGACCTCCACTTTGTCTACTTCATCTCCTTCGTCCACTTCATCTGTTTCGTGAACCTCATCTACTTCGTCAACTTCATCTACTTCGTCAACTTCATCTACTTCGTCAACTTCATCTACTTCGTCAACTTCATCTACTTCACCAACTTCATCTACTTCGTCAACTTCATCTACTTCGTCAACTTCATCTACTTCGTCAACTTCATCTACTTCGTCAACTTCATCTACTTCGTCAACTTCATCTACTTCGTCAACTTCATCTACTTCGTCTTCTTCATCAACTTGCAGTACCAGGCTTGCAGTACCAGGCTTGCAGTACCAGGCTTGCAGTACCAGGCTTGCAGTACCAGGCTTGCAGTACGAGGCTTGCAGTACCAGGCTTGCAGTACGAGGCTTGCAGTACCAGGCTTGTAGTACCAGGCTTGCAGTACCAGGCTTGCAGTACCAGGCTTGCAGTACCAGGCTTGCAGTACCAGGCTTGCAGTACGAGGCTTGCAGTACCAGGCTTGTAGTACCAGGCTTGCAGTACCAGGCTTGTAGTACCAGGCTTGCAGTACCAGGCTTGCAGTACCAGGCTTGCAGTACCAGGCTTGCAGTACCAGGCTTGCAGTACCAGGCTTGCAGTACCAGGCTTGTAGTACCAGGCTTGCAGTACCAGGCTTGCAGTACCAGGCTTGCAGTACCAGGCTTGCAGTACCAGGCTTGCAGTACCAGGCTTGCAGTACCAGGCTTGCAGTACCTGGCTTGCAGTACCAGGCTTTCAGTACAGGCGAAACGTTTAATCAATAAAGATTCCTTGTGTTACACATGTACTGAACATTAAAATAACTATTATAAACTCCCTTGCCTTGTACTTCTACTTGTACATACGAGTCAGTTCTTGTCTTACGTTCTTGTTTCAACCTTCCATCACTCCCCAGTGTTTCTCACATTCTGTAAGATCAGGCCCGGTGGCCTGGTGGCTAAAGCTCCCGCTTCACACACGGAGGGTCCGGGTTCGATTCCCGGCGGGTGGAAACATTTCGACACGTTTCCTTACACCTGTTGTCCTGTTCACCTAGCAGCAAATAGGTACCTGGGTGTTAGTCGACTGGTGTGGGTCGCATCCTGGGGGACAAGATTAAGGACCACAATGGAAATAAGTTAGACAGTCCTCGATGACGCACTGACTTTCTTGGGTTATCCTGGGTGGCTAACCCTCCGGGGTTAAAAATCCCAACGAAATCTTATCAAGAAACATTAACATTTATGATCAATGATAATATTTTTAAATTTACATGTGTCAGTATTAGATTAGAAATCTTCACTTAATTGTACCTACAGCTCAGTGTAGATACATGCAAAAATAATTATTTGGAATCAAATAACAAAAAAATAACAATGGTTATAAATGACCGTAATTTTTAAAGGGGTGGACCGGTAAGCCAGCGGAAGGCCTCGGTCAGATGACCAAAAGCTCCAAAGGCGGGTCATCATCTGACTAAGACCCGCGTCAGGAAACATTTGTCCTGTTTCCTGACGAACCTTACCTAACCTAACCTAACCTAACCTAACCTAACCTAACCTAACCTAACCTAACCTAACCTAACCTAATCTAACCTAACCTAACCTTACCTAACCTACCTAACCTAACCTAACCTAACCTAACCTAACCTAACCTTACCTAACCTAACCTAACCTAACACTTAACCTAACCTAACCCTTACCTAAACCTAACCTAAACTAACCTAACCTAACCTAACCTAACTTACCTAACCTTAACCTAACCTAACCTTACCTAACCTAACCTAACCTACCTAACCTTACTAACCTAACCTTACTAACCTAACTATACTAAATTACCTAACCTAACCTAACCTAACCTATACTACTAACCTAACTTACTAACCTAACCTAACCTTACCTAACCTAAAACCTAACTTACCTAACCTATAACCTAACCTAACCTTACCTAACCTAACCTAACCTAACCTAACCTAACCTAACCTAACCTACCTACCTAACCTAACCTAACCTAACCTAACCTAACCTAACCTAACCTTACCTAACCTAACACTAAACCTAACCTAACCTAACCTAACCTAACCTAACCTTACTAACCTAACTAAAACCTAACCTAACCTTACCTAACCTACCTAACCTACCTAACCTACAACCTTACCTATTACCTAACCTAACCTAACCTAACCTAACCTAACTAACCTAACCTTACCTAACCTAACCTAACCTAACCTACCTAATTTAAACCTAACCTAACCTTAACCTAACCTAAACCTAACTACCTAACTAACCCTAACCTAACCTAACCTAACCTTACCTAACCTAACTAACCTAACCTAACCTTACCTAACCTAACCTAACTAACCTAACTAACCTAACCTTACCTAACCTAACCTAACCTAACCTAACCTAACCAACCTAACTAACCTACCTAACCTAACTAACCTAACCTTACCTAACCTAACCTAACAACCTAACTTACCTAACCTAACCTAACCTAACCAAAAACCAAACCTAACCTAACCTTACCTAACCTAACCTAACCTAACCAACCTAACCTTACCTAACCTAACCTAACCTAACCTTACCTAACCTAACCTAACCTAAACCTAACTAACCTAACCTTACCTAACCTAACCTAACCTAACTAACCTTACCTAACCTAACTAACCACCTTACTAACTAACCTAACCTAACCTACCTAACTAAACTAACCTAACCTAACCAAACCTAACCTAACCTTACCTACTACTAACCAACCTAAACCTACCTAACCTAACCTCCTAACCTAACACCTAACCTAACCAACCTAACCAACCCCTTACCTAACCTAACCTAACCTTACCTACCTAACCTAACCTAACCTAACTAACCTAACCTTTACACTAACCTAACCTAACCTAACCTTACCTAACCTAACCTAACCTTACCAACTAACCAAACCTAAACCTACTAACCTAAACTAACCTACCTAACCTAACCTAACCTAACCTAACCTAACCTTACCTAACTAACTAACTAACCTAACCTTTAAACCTAACCTAACCTAACCTAAACCTAACCTAACCTAAACCTTACCTAACCTAACCTAACCTAACCTAACTAACCTACCTAACCTTACCTAACCTAACCTTACCTAACCTAACTAACTAACCTAAACCTTACTAACCTAACTAACCTAACTAACCTAACCTAACCTAACCTTACCTAACCTAACCTAACTAACCTAACCTAACCTAACCTTAACCTAACCTAACCTAACCTAACCTTACCTAACCTAACCTACCTAACCTAACCTAACCTAACCTTACCTAACTAACTAACCTAACCTTACCTAACCTAACTAACCTTACCTAACCTAACTAACTAAACCTAACCTTACCTAACCTAACCTAACCTAACCTAACCTAACCTAACCTTACCTAACCTAACTAACCTAAACCTAACCTTACCTAACCTAACCTAACCTAACCTAACCTTACCTAACCTAACCTAACCTAACCTAACCTAACCTAACCTAAACTTACCTAACCTAACCTAACCTAACCTTACCTAACTACCTAACCTAACCTAACCTAACCTAACCTTACCTAACCTAACCTAACCTAACCTAACCTAAACTAACCTTACCTTACTAACCTAACTAACCTTACCTAACCTAACCTAACCTAACCTAACCTAACCTAACCTTACCTAACCTAACCTAACCTAACCTAACCTTACCTAACCTAAACCTAACCTAACCTAACCTAACCTAACCTAACCTTACCTAACCTTTAAACCTAACCTAACCTTACCTAACCTAACCTAACCTAACTACCTAACCTAACCTAACCTTACCTAACCTAACCTAACCTAACCTAACCTAACCTAACCTTACCTAACCTAACCTAACCTAACCTAACCTTACCTAACCTAACCTAACCTAACCTAACCTTACCTAACCTAACCTAACCTAACCTTACCTAACCTTACCTAACCTAACCTAACCTTACCTAACCTAACCTAACCTAACCTAACCTAACCTAACCTAACCTTACCTAACCTAACCTAACCTAACCTAACCTAACCTAACCTTACCTAACCTAACCTTAGAATCAAATAATATGCATGTAACTTAATATTCATTTACTGGAGGATAATTCACAAACATGTATGGAAATAATCCAACTATTAACACTCTCACTAGGAACCCTTTTCTCCAAAATTTAAGTACATAGAAGAAAGCCTTTATATATGAAAATACAGTTTGGTACACACGATAAAAGGTGCACTAAAGTGGAACTTGTGGCAATAGAAAATAAAGACTGAGAGACATCGCAGTAGCCATAGTGACACTTGCTCTGTTATTCCACTCATTCTTAATTCTATTGTCAGACAAATACCTTTCCAATGTTTTTTTTCATTTCTGAATTATGCTTAAATTCATCAAATTCATGAAGGACATATACGATGTAAGACAACATTGTCAGAGGTCTTAGTTACTTTCTCCTGGTTATTTATCTTCTTCAGTACTTTATTTATTTTATAAAGAAAAATATTCAGTAGTAACCAAGATCGAGATTAACTAATGTTAGTTACATCTTAACAATGTAGATATTTAAGCTTTTAGCTGGACATAAAATAGACACAAGTTTTTTTTTTTTTTTTTTATTCGCCGGTATTCTCCCGTCCCGGGTCTTTTCCAAATAGTGGTGACCCGGCCTTGGCTCTCTATCTGGGGAGTTTTGTTGTATAATCAATGTATATGAAACTGATTTTCTTTTATTAAAAAAATATCCTTATAGATTCTGGAGTTTGAACTGAGTAAAGAAGAGATGACGTTGATGGACGGTCTTGACCGAGGTGGTGATGGCAGGATGTCTGACTTCCTTTTATTTTCCGGGTAAAGTATTGTTAATTTGGTTTCTTAAGGTTTTGGAAAAGTCGATTAATGCAGTGAGATGATAAATAAAATAGTAATTATAATTTAAAAGAATATTCATTATTATTATAATCAAGGGGGAAGCGCTAAACCCAGAGGATTATACAGCGCCTGGGGGGGGGGGATGTGGAAGGCATTCAGGCTTAATTCGGGGAACTGGAGCACAGATCCAATTCCCTAAATCAAGAGCCCCTCACCAACATCAAGGAACCTTCCTTGAGGGGAAAAGAATATTCAGAAAGTATGGTTTTTTCCCTAAGAATTTAATTTCACTTACCATTTTAACCTCGAGGGGCAACCCTGTGTTCCATTTCCACAGATCAAACTTGATCACTTCCACTTCCAATGACCCCCTTCGGTTTAGTGCTTCCCCATAATTATAATATAATAGTCATCAAGTGGTAAAATTTCGATAATTTTAGAAGTGATGTGCATTATATAGATGTATGGAAGAGGGTAAGGTACCTAGGAACTGGCAGAGAGCATGCATAGTTCCTTTGTATAAAGGCAAAGGGGACAAGGAGGGAGTAAAAATCATAGGGGAATAAGCCTTTTGAGTATACTGGTAAAGTGTATGGTAGAATTATTATTTAAAGGTTTAAGAGGAAGACGGAGAGTAGGATAGCAGATGAACAAGGAGGCTTTAGGAAGGGTAGGGGGTGTGTAGATCAAGTGTTTACAGTGAAACATATAGGTAAACAATATTTAGATAAGAGTAAATATGATTTCGTTGCATTTGTAAGTTGGGAAAAGGCATATTATAGAATGGATAGGAAAGCAGTGTGGCAGATGTTGCAAATGTATGGAATAGGTGGTAGATTACTGAATGCCGTTAAGAGTTTTTATGAGGATAGTGAGTCTCAGGTATGTAGGAGAGGGGGAGATTATTTCCCAGTAAAAGTAGGCCTTAGACAGGGATGTATAATGTCACCATGGTTGTTCAATATATTTATAGATGGGGTTGTAAGAGAAGTGAATGGTCGGGTATTGGCAAGAGGTGTGGGATTAAGAGATAAAGAATCTAACACGAAGTGAGTTTTCACAGCTGCTTTTTGCTGATGACACTGTGCTTTTCGGAGATTCTGAAGAGAAGTTGCAGAGGTTGGTGGGTGTGTCTGGAAGGGTATATAAAAGAAGGAAATTAAAAGTGAATGTAGGAAAGAGAAAGGTGATGAGGATAACAAAAGATTTAGGTAATGAAAAACTGGATATCAGTTTGGAGGGAGAGAGTATGGAGGGTAAGTAATTGTATTCAGATATTTGGGAGTGGACCTGTCAGCAGATGGGTCTATGAAAGACGAGGTGAATCATAGATGTGATAAAGGAAAAAGGTGAGTGGGGCACTGAGGAGTCTGTGGAGACAAAGAACATTATTAAAGGAAGTAAAAAGGGGAATGCATGATAGTATAATGGTACCAACACTCATATATGGGTGTGAAACATCGGTGGTGAATGTTCCAACAAGGAGAAAGCTGGAGGCAGTGGAGATGTCATGCCTGACGGCAATGTGCGGTGTGAATATAATGTAGAAAATCCATAGCTTGGAGATTATAAGGTGTAGGAGGTTCTAAAAGTATTATTCGGGAGGGCAGAGAGAGGTTTGTGAGGTGGTTTGGACTTTTAGAGAGAGGATGGAACAAAACAGAAAATCTTGGAAGGCGTATAAATCTGTATTGGAAGAAAGGCGGGGTAGGGCCATTAACATTAATTCGGCTAATATTAAAAATGTTAAAGTCCTGAGTTTTGTCGGATATTGAAAGCCTTAATGTATTGTTAGTTAATGTTTGAGGAGATGATATAAGTAAGGGATCTAACTGGCCACTTGGTAGATATATTTATTAGCTGTCACTATCAGAAATTTTATTTAAGTTGTAAATTTTGACATCTTTAAAAATGAACAAAATAGGTTAGGCAGTATAGTTGAATTGATTTCTTTGATAATATTGGAGTGAAAAAAAAAACAATCTTATTTGACGTTTAGTATATGCTAATGTGTCAATGAAAGAGAATGAAAATATATGAGGTTTTCAATTACCCTGATTCTTCGTTACACAAAGATAAGGTCTTTGCCATTAATTGTAAAAACTAATTAATAACAGAGTTTCACAGATAATGAGGAGGTACAGGGAGAGTGAATATAAACATTTTCTGATATGATGGACGACCACCTTGGACGACAACCTGTAACCATCATAATGAAGTAGATAATACCTGATCAGTACAAGTTAGAACATTACTGTCTAGTTAGTGCTACGGTTTAAGATTTTTTTCATTTATTTATACAATGTCTTAATTACTTTCTCTTTCTTGCAGGGTCGACAAACACCCGGAGTATCCATTACACATTCCATTTTAGGGATACAGAAATGTTTCTGTGTTTACCATTTTGAGAATTATTATTATTATTATTATTATAATCAAGGGGAAGCGCTAAACCCTGAGGATTATACAGCGCCTGGGGGGGGGGATGTGGAAGGCATTCAGGCTTAATTCGGGTAACTGGAGCACAGATCCAATTTCCTAAATCAAGAGCCCCTCACCAACATCAAGGAACCTTCCTTGAGGGGACCATTTTGAGAAGAGTTATAACATTGTTGATTATTATAATAATGTCTGATTATAATTTCTGTTTTTCTTGATTCTATATAAATAATAACAAAAGTTTATAAATTACTTTGATGAAACTAGAAGACAAGTTATTAATATTTTTCTCTAAGATTTGAAGCCTTAAGTCTTGAAATTTCTCCTTCTTACAACGGGAAGTATTGGAAACAAGGTACATGATCAAAAGGTACATGATCACAAGGTACATGATCACAAGGTACATGATCACAAGGTACATGATCACAAGGTACATGATCACAAGGTACATGATCACAAGGTACATGATCACAAGGTACATGATCACAAGGTACATGATCACAAGGTACATGATCACAAGGTACATGATCACAAGGTACATGATCACAAGGTACATGATCACAAGGTACATGATCACAAGGTACATGATCACTAGGACATGATCAAAAATGGTACATGATCACAAGGTACATGATCACTAGGGACATGATCACTAGGTACATGATCACAAGGTACATGATCACAAGTACATGAATCACTAGGTACATGATCACAAGGTACATGATCACAAGTACATGATCACAAGGTACATGATCACTAGGTACATGATCACAAGGTACAAAGATCACTAGGGACATGATCACAAGGTAACATGATCACAAGGTACATGATCACAAGGTACATGATCACAAGGTACATGATCACTAGGTACATGATCACTAGGTACATGATCACAAGGTACATGATCACTAGGTACATGATCACTAGGTACATGATCACAAGGTACATGATCACAAGGTACATGATCACTAGGTACATGATCACTAGGTACAAAGATCACAAGTACATGATCACAAGGTACATGATCACAAGGTACATGATCCCTAGGTACATGATCACAAGGTACTGATCACAAGGTACAGATCACTGGTAAATGATCACTAGGTACATGATCACAAGGTACATGATCACAGGTACATGATCACTAGGTACATGATCCAAGGTACATGATCACAAGGTACATGATCACAGGTAACATATCATTGGTACATGATCACAAGGTACTGATCATAGGTACATGATCACAAGGGTACATGATCACAAGGTAATGATCACAAGGTACATGATCACAAGGTACTGATCACTAGGTACATGAAACACTGGTAATGATCACAAGGTACATGATCACTAGGTACATGATCACTAGGTACATGATCACAAGGTACATGATCACAAGGTTTCATGATCATTGGTAATGATCACTAGGTAATGATCACAAGGTATGATCACTTGGTACTGATCACTAGGTAATGATCACTGGTACATGATCACTAGGTACATGATTTACTAGGTACATGATCACTAGGTAAATGATCACTAGGTACATGATCACAAGGTACATGATCACTAGGTACATGATCACAAGGTACATGATCACTAGGTACATGATCACTAGGTACATGATCACAAGGTACATGATCACTAGGTACATGATCACTAGGTACATGATCACTAGGTACATGATCACTAGGTACATGATCACTAGGTACATGATCACAAGGTACATGATCACTAGGTACATTGATCACTAGGTACATGATCACTAGGTACAAAGATCACTAGGTATATGATCACTAGGTACATGATCACTAGGTACATGATCACAAAGTACATGATCACTAGGTACATGATCAATAGGTACATGATCACTAGGTACATGATCACTAGGTACATGATCACTAGGTACATGATCACTAGGTATATGATCACTAGGTACATGATCACTAGGTACATGATCACAAGGTACATGATCACTAGGTATATGATCACTAGGTACATGATCACAAGGTACATGATCACTAGGTACATGATCAATAGGTACATGATCACTAGGTACATGATCACAAGGTACATGATCACTAAAGGGACATGATCAATAGGTACATGACACTAGGTACATGATCACTAGTACATGATCAAATAGGTACATGATCACTAGGTATATGATCACTAGGTACATGATCACTAGGTACATGATCACAAGGTACATGATCACTAGGTATATGATCACTAGGTACATGATCACAAGGTACATGATCACTAGGTATATGATCACTAGGTACATGATCACTAGGTACATGATCACTAGGTATTTTGATCACTAGGACATGATCACTAGGTACATGATCACAAGGTACATGATTTACTAGGTATATGATCACTAGGTACATGATCACAAGGTACATGATCACTAGGTATATGATCACTAGGTACATGATCACAAAGGGACATGATCACAAGGTACAGATCACTAGGTATATGATCACTAGGTACATGATCACAAGGTACATGATCACAAGGTACATGATCACTAGGTATATGATCACTAGGTACATGATCACAAGGTACATGATCACTAGGTATATGATCACTAGGTACATGATCACAAGGTACATGATCACAAGGTACATGATCACTAGGTATATGATCACTAGGTACATGATCACAAGGTACATGATCACAAGGTACATGATCACTAGGTATATGATCACTAGGTACATTTATCACAAGGTACATGATCACAAGGTACATGATCACTAGGTATATGATCACTAGGTACATGATCACAAGGTACATGATCACAAGGTACATGATCACAAGGTACATGATAACAAGGTACATGATCACTAGGTACATGATCACAAGGTACATGATCACAAGGTACATGATAACAAGGTACATGATCACTAGGTACATGATCACAAGGTACATGATCACAAGGTACATGATCACTAGGTACATGATCACTAGGTACATGGGTCACAAGGTACATGATCACAAGGCACATGATCACAAGGTACATGAAACACAAGGTACATGAAACACAAGGTACATGACACAAGGTACATGATCACTAGGTACATGATCACAAGGTACATGATCACAAGGTACATGATCACAAGGTACATGATCACAAGGTACATGATCACTAGGTACATGATCACAAGGTACATGATCACAAGGTACATGATCACAAGGTACATGATCACAAGGTACATGATCCTAGGGACATGATCACTAGGTTACATGATCACAAGGTACATGATCACAAGGTACATGATCACAAGGTATATGATCACAAGGTACATGATCACTAGGTACATGATCACAAGGTACATGATCACAAGGTAAAATGATCACAAGGTACATGATTTCAAGGTACATGATCACAAGGGTACATGATCACAAGGCACATGATTCAAGGTACATGTCACAAGGACATGATCACAAGGTACATGATCACAAGGTACATGATCACAAGGTACATGATCACAAGGTACATGATCACTAGGTACATGATCACAATGTACATGATCAAAAGGTACATGATCCCTAGGTACATGATCACAAGGTACATGATCACAAGGTACATGATCACAAGGTACATGATCACTAGGTAATGATCACAAGGTACATGGGTCACAAGGTACATGATCACAAGGGTACATGATCACAAGGTACATGATCACTAGGTACATGTCACAAGGTACATGATCACTAGGTTCCCTGATCAAAAAAGGTACATGAAACACAAGTACATATCACAAGTACATGATCACTAGGTACATGATCACAAGTAACATTATCACTAGGTACATGATCACAAGGTACATGATCACTAGGTACAGATCACAAGGTTTCATGATCACAAGGTACAGATCACAAAGTACAATGATCAAAGGTACATGATCACAAGGTACATGATCACAAGGTACATGATCACAAGGTACATGATCACAAGGTACATGATCACTAGGTACATGATCACTAGGTACATGATCACAAGGTACATGATCACAAGGTACATGATCACAAGGTACATGATCACTAGGTACATGATCACTAGGCACATGATCACAAGGTACATGATCACTAGGTACATGATCACTAGGTACATGATCACAAGGTACATGATCACTAGGTACATGATCACAAGGTACATGATCACTAGGTACATGATCACAAGGTACATGATCACAAGGTACAGATCACAAGGAAAATGATCACAGGGACATGATCACTAGGTACATGATCACAAGGTTACATGATCACAAGGGACATATCACAAGGTACATGATCACAAGGTACATGATCACTAGGTACATGATCACAAGGTACATGATCACAAGGTACACGATCACAAGGTACATGATCACAAGGTACATGATCACAAGGTATATGATCACAAGGTACATGATCACAAGGTACATGATCACAAGGTACATGATCACAAGGTACATGATCAATAGGTACATGATCACAAGGTACATGATCACAAGGTATATGATCACTAGGTACATGATCACTAGGTATATGATCACTAGGTACATGATCACTAGGTATATGATCACTAGGTACATGATCACTAGGTACATGATCACTAGGTATATGATCACTAGGTACATGATCACTAGGTATACGATCACTAGGTACATGATCACTAGGTACATGATCACTAGGTATATGATCACTAGGTACATGATCACTAGGTACATGATCACAAGGTACATAATCACTAGGTATATGATCACTAGGTACATGATCACAAGGTACATGATCACTAGGTATATGATCACTAGGTACATGATCACAAGGTACATGATCACAAGGTACATGATCACAAGGCACATGATCACAAGGTCATGATCACAAGGTACATGATCACAAGGTCATGACCACAAGGTACATGATCACTAGGTACATGATCACAAGGTACATGATCACAAGGTACATGATCACAAGGTACACGATCACAAGGTACATGATCACAAGTTACACGATCACAAGGTACATGGTCACAAGGTACATGATCACAAGGTACATGATCACAAGGTACATGATCACAAGGTACATGATCATAAGGTACATGATCACTAGGTACATGATCACAAGGTACATGAACACAAGGTACATGATCACAAGGTCATGATCACAAGGTACATGATCACAAGGTACATGATCATAAGGTACATGATCACAAGGTACATGATCATAAGGTACATGAACACAAGGTACATGATCACAAGGTACATGATCACAAGGTACATGATCATAAGGTACATGATCACAAGGTACATGATCACAAGGTACATGATCACAAGGTACATGATCACAAGGTACATGATCACTAGGTACATGATCACAAGGTACATGATCACAAGGTACATGATCACAAGGTACATGATCACAAGGTACATGATCACAAGGTACATGATCACAAGGTACATGATCACAAGGTACATGATCACAAGGTACATGATCATAAGGTACATGATCACTAGGTACATGATCACAAGGTACAAAGAACACAAGGTACATGATCACAAGGTACATGATCACAAGGTACATGATCATAAGGTACATGATCACAAGGTACATGATCACAAGGTCATGATCACAAGGTACATGATCACAAGGTACATGATCACAAGGTACATGATCACAAGGTACATGATCACAAGGTACATAAAGCAGAGAGGAATAGACAGGCTGGACTGAGACAGACTGTTGTTCAGAAGATGAAAAACATAAAATTCAGACACAGCTGCAAACTAAAAACATACATAATTATGTTAGGAAATATTTCTTTAACACCAGAATTGACAGGAAGTGGAATGAGCTGGACAGCAAAGTGGTGGATGTAAACCTGGCAGGTCTAGGAGCCGAGACTCAACCCCTGCAACCACAATTAGGTGAGTACACACACACACACACACACACACACCACACACCACACACACACACACACACACACACACACACACACACACACACACACACAGTGGTCGGGAAATGTTAAACAGCTGTTCCCAATATTCGTTCAGCCAAATATACAGCAGTGGTATTGTATTCTGAAAACAGAGAGAATGGTTCAGGTCTCCCGTAGCTAGATCGCTAGCGCACTTGGCCCACACACTGAGGTCCAGAGTTCGAATTCCTGGTAGGTCTGTAAAAACATTAGGACGTGTTTCCTTAAGACACCTGCTGTTCATGTTCACCCATCAGTAAAATAGGTACCTGGGTGTTAGTGGACTGGTGTGGGCCGCATCCTGGGACAAAACTAACCTAATTTGTGGGAAATGCTCCACATAACAAGCAGTTTTCTATATAGAAGTATGTCACTGATGTCAGCTATGGTCTGTATACCTTGCACATGTACTGGTAGAAATAAAGATTATTATTATTAAGCGCTAAGAAGAATTAAAAACTGATAATCTCCACAATAGAAGAAAACTTTAGGTCCCGGGTTTTACACTATACCAAGAAATATGAACACCATAGTGTATTATAATGTCTCCAGTGAGAAGCACAATAAATCTAGACAGAAAGATGTCAACATACTCAACTATTTTTGACAGTAATTTGATATCAACGGCAGCATTTGTGAAAAAAAAAGTCAGGGTTTATTTCACAGGTTCAGTATTGTGTAAGTGTGCACTATTTATTAGTTATTATAAATCTTTAGATGTTAAAGTACTGATTTAATTTTGTAACTAATAGAACAATAATAAATTGTCAGTGTTCAAAAAAAATATATGGTAAATCTTTATTATATTTCCTTTAAAACCTTCCAAATGTAATTAAGAAATAAATTTATTTCCAACAATCATTTCTTTACTACCAGTTTCTGTGTTTGGTGGGAGGGAATGTGTTGGTTGTGCAATGACAGCCTTCGGATGCATCACAGAACTGATAAATTGGCTAAGCTGTTATGCTGTCAAAGATGGAGTAGATTACAATCTTGGGTTGTCAGGTAGTAGTTTGAGAATGCATCCATGTATCTAAGGTTGACACTTTAATTGTAACTGATTCTCTGTCATCCATAAATGCTCTCAACTCATTAAGTATAAATTGTGGCATGCTTGTGTCAGAAGCCAGACATAGGTATGGTAAGATTGTGGACAGTGGAGTCAGAGTTCACATGCTGTGGATTCCATCTCACATTGGTCTTCAGATGCATGATAGAACTGATAAATTGGCTAAGCTGTTATGCTTTCAAAGATGGAGTAGATTACAATCTTGGGTTGTCAGTTAGCAGTTTGAGAACAATAATACGAAAAGAACTTCAAATGAACTTTATTAACTTGAGACTTAAGGGAGATTGACACAAGTCAGTCCATCTATTGTCATTCTATCATGCAGGAGGAGCCACATGTCTATGGTGCATCCAACAAGATAAGCAGACTCTTGGATGTCACTACCGCCCGGCTCCGGCTGGGTTACAAGTATCTTTGGCAGGTTAAGACCAATTCTATGCTGACAAGGCATCTCAGGCCAATCGTGCCAAATTTGAAGGCAGGAAAAATAAAACGTATACATATATACGTATATATGTTTGGGGCACTAGCGATAAGAACGTACAGTGGACCCCCGCATAACGATCACCTCCGAATGCGACCAATTATGTAAGTGTATTTATGTAAGTGCGTTTGTACGTGTAAGTTTGGGGGTCTGAAATGGACTAATCTACTTCACAATATTCCTTATGGGAACAAATTCGGTCACTACTGGCACCTGAACATACTTCTGGAGTGAAAAAATATCGTTAACCGGGGGTCCACTGTATATATACGTTTGGACCATTTATGGGTTAGCACATAAATTTGTGTGTGTGTTTTTTCCAATTTTCAAACCACCTTTTCTCTTCTTTTAAGCTCTCCTTAATTAACCCTTTAACTCTCACTAGTGCTTCGAATATTTTAATTAAAAAAAAAAAAAAAAAAAAAAAGAGGTTAATTGTCTATATGTAAAAAGATCAGATTTTTTTTTTTTAAGATCCGAATTGACTGTGATATAAGACTGTGAAGTTGGCACTGGATGCTCATGTGACAGCAACATGGAGTCCTGCAGCTTGCAGAAATGTTGCAGAAATACTTCTGTTTTGTTTTGCTTTATGTAGTTTTATGTCCTGATAATTACAATAATATTAGGTATGGAAATAGTAATCAAACAGTCACAAACACACTGACAGGTGAACAAGTTCACCTGTCAGTGTGTTCGTGACTAAAATAATATACAAATTATTCGTAGGTCCCAACAATGTTTTTAGACATGGTGGAGTAAATGAAACTCCTTGAAGCACAGTGTCAGAGTGGCACTTTACTTTCTGATGGTGAAGTCACCCCACGGTGCTGATGGTGAAGTCACCCCACAGTGCTGATGGTGAAGTCACCCCACAGTGCTGATGGTGAAGTCACCCCACAGTGCTGATGGTGAAGTCACCCCACAGTGCTGATGGTGAAGTCACCCCACAGTGCTGATGGTGAAGTCACCCCACAGTGCTGATGGTGTAAATTACCTAGATTAAGTCAAAAAAGTCAGTGCTGTACTGTGCTTATAAATAAGAGGCATAAGCATGACTGGCAAAGACAGCAGTAACAGCCTGGTTGATCAGACCCTGCTCCACCATGGGGCCTGGTCTCAGACCAAGCTGCAGGGGCATTGACCCCAGAAACCCTCTCCAGGTATATTCAAGGTATCTCAGCCAGAGTTGTGCAGATTCTGATACATGTGTAATACCTGTTTGTCTAGCTGATGATGACGTTCATGAGTAGCTATCTCAGAGAGAGAGGGAGAAAGAGAGAAAGATAAAGAGAAAGAGAAAGAGAAAGAGAGAGAGAGAGAAAGAGAGGCCAACACTGTCAAAGTACCACACTTGGATCCACTTGGAGGACAGCGTGAAGCAAGCTTCTATACCACAAGACGGGCAGAAAGCAGCAACTTCACTCTGCTGTACCCTTCTCCAGAACATCACTTCATCTGAGATCATTTATCCCCAGGATGACTTGAGTATGGAACACATTCGTACAGCATTATGATGTCAACGAGATAAAGTCAGTTGATCAAATGAAAATACTGGTCCACAGCTGCCCACAGATGGCTCCAACGTCATCCTGTTCCCTACTTGTATGTTTCATAACAATAAAAATGCTTTCAAATGAGCTAATGTACGTATCAGCTCTTAGCTCGTCAATAAAGTTAGGAAGCCTTAACCTGTAAATAGCTTGTCAATAAAGCTAGGGATCCTTAACCTAACCTTGTCAAATGCTGTGTAAAAAAAAAGATAGAGAAAGAGAGAGAGAGAGATAAAGAGAGAGTGAGTGGGGCTGACACAAAAAGAAAGCTGGTATCAGGTAGAGTGAGCCCCAAAACCTTGTGGTACTTGATCAAGGACTTACAGTAAGGAGAAAGCTGACCTTTTTGCTGAACACTTAGCTACTAAGATGCAAATTCCTGATCCAGCAAGGGACCCTCTTTGGCAAGCTGTAGGAACTGTGTCGAAGTTGTCAGAAGTGATAATACGGCAAGAGGTGTACCTTCTTAAACTGGACTAAGAAAAGGCAGTGGGCCCAGATAAGCTGAGCTAAAGATTGCCGATTAGATGTGCAGATCAACTAGCAGCACCTCTACCTCGTATCTATCAGCACTGCCTAGTACATACAATGTAAATGGCCTATTTCTGTGGAAAGAGGCAAATATAGTCCCTGTTCACAAAAAGATCAGAGCAGAAATCAGCAACTACAGACCAGTGTCACTCCTGTCAATCACTGACAAGCTTCTTGAGACAATAATCTCGCACCACATGAGGAGAGATTTTTGACTACCATTCACTTATTTGTGACCATCAATATGGCTTCAGAAAAGGGCACTCTGTTGCTAACCTCTTATTAACTTTCCATTAAGTGGATTATTATTATAATCAAGGAGGAAGGGCTAAACCCGTAGGATTATACAGTGCCTGGGGAGGATGTGGAAGGCATTCAGGCTTAATTCGGGGAACTGGAGCACAGATCCAATTCCCTAAATCAAGAGCCCCTTGCCAACATCAAGGAACCTTCCATGAGGGGCCCTTAAGTGGAACCAGACACTAGATGAATCTAGTCAGCTGTGTAGTAACACTGGACATTGTTGGTGCTTTCAACAGTATGGCACCAAGGACTCTTGGAAAAGCTGCAAGCACTGGAAACTGCAGGCTCTACACTGTATCTCCTCAGTGACGACTTTCAAGGTAGATCTCTAAGCGTAGTTCTCAATGGGACAGAGTTAGCAAGACATTCAATTGGTGCAAACGTTCCACAGGCTTGGGCCATTATGGAATATCTACCTCAATGATCTTCATCTCATCTTAGAATCCCATGCATATGCAGATGACTGCATACTGACGTTTACCTTTCCAAGAGGAAATACCATCTGCTCTAAGCTTCAATAATCACCAGCTTACAATTATATTAGCCTGGGGTAAATGATGGTGGGTCACATTAGCTCCTGGGAAAACACAAATGTTGGTCTCTAGGAACCATGATAATAATGCTGGAGCAGTGGCAAGAATGAATGGGAGGGTGCTGGTACCATGGAACAAAGTTGATATCCTTGGGGGTAAATTTGACTCCAAATTGACGATGAAGAACCACATTACAAAATTCTCTGCAAGGCACAAGTACACTCACACCTTGAGTATGCTCCACTTTCTTGGATTATCTGCCCTCCATCTCATTTGTGACTTCTTGACAGAATAGAGAACAGAGCATGATGCCTCATCTCTCACCTGGACCCAACCTGGATAGATCTGTCATTTCGCCAGAGCCTTCAACACAGGAGGGTTGTAGATGAATGGTTCAGAGAACCGACAAGTTGATAAATTAGGACACGTGCAACACTTGGGTATCTTTAATGAGGAAACATTTTGCCACACAGTGTATTCATCAGTCCATACAAAGGAGAACGGTGAAGAGCAGGAGGAGTTTGACGTAATCAGTCCCTCAGCCTTGAGTCGATGTGGTCAGTCCATCAGTCTTGTAAAGAATACAGCATATGAGCAAAGAAGTAGCTTATATACTGCTGCACCTCTCCTGCCTACAGTATATAAGCTACTTCTTCACTCGTATGCTGTATTCTTTACAAGATTGACGGACTGACCACATCAACTCAAGGCTGAGGGACTGATTACCTCAAACTCCTCCTGTTCTTCACGTTCTCCTTTGTATGGACTGATGAAGCCACTGTGTGGCGAAACATTTCCTTATTAAAGATACCCAAGTGTTGCACATGTGTCTAATTTATCAACAGGAAGGTTGTGGGTAGCTCTACTGCTATATACAAGGCCAAAATTGTCAAAGTACCATGCTTGGCTCCATTCCGAGGACAGCGAGAAGTAAGCTTCTGCACAACAAGATGGGCAGCAAGCAGCAACTTCACTCTGACTGTACCCTTCTCCAGAACATCGCTACATCTGAAATTATTTATTCCTAGAATAACTCGAGTCTGAAACATGTTCGTACAGCATGGTATCAACGAAATAAAGTCAGCTGATCAAATGAAACTGCTGGCACACAGATGGCTTCAAATTCATCCTGTTCTATATTTGTGTTTCATAACAATAAACAGGCTTTTAAATGAGCTGATGTAGGTAACAGCTCTTAGCTTGTAAATAAAGTTAAGAATCCTTACCCTAACCTTGTAAAACCCTGTGCAAAACAAAAAAAAAAAAAAAAAAAAAAAAAGAGGGAGGGAGAGAATAAGAGAAAGAGAGAGACAGAGACACACAGAGATGCAGAGAGACACAAAGAGGCAGAGAGAGACACACAGAGAAGCAGAAAGAGGCAGAGACACACAGAGAAGCAGAGAGACAGAGATAGCCAGAGTAAACCAGAGTCAGCCTGCTAGTCAGCCAGCCAGAATCAGCCGGCTGAACACATATTACCACGTTGTAGAATCATCTCTCCCTACTAACTTTGGGCATCAGTGATAGGACACTCTGGCTGGATGCCACTGCCAGTGGCATCAAAACTGAAAGGAAGTGGTATGGATATTGCAAGTGGGTTATCATCAAGTTTTTTTGATATTTCCTCAGTCACTTACAGCTACATCCATCTCAAAGCCACAAATCTTGGGGTAGCATAACTTTCCTTGAAAAAATAGTGTTAACATGACATGACGTTAATAAATTCTTGGGGTTTATTATGCTGTTTGCTCTAGTTGGCGCTCATTTGAACTGGTGCTCCCACAAGGTACTAGTGATCCCAGATTCTTTTAATACTGTACACACTAATTGTAAAGACCCATTCTGTACTGCCTAGTCCTATCAGGCCTCTGGTGCCAAACTTAAATGCAGGAAAAATAGTGTGTTGATCAATGGAGTGCTAACAGTAATGTGGAGATCAACGGTTTGAAAGTTAAAGAGATCTGTGACCATAACACAAGATACAGATCTCTCTTTGATGTACCTCATGTTCATATCACACTGTGTAAAAACTCTATGCACATAAAGGGCCCCAAAATATGGAATTCATTACCAGAAGATATTAAAGTAACCCAATCTGAAAAATAAATTTAAGACTCTTCTCAAAAGCCACTTAATCACCCTAGACTAAATGCTAAATACTCAGTACACACATACTCATTTATGTACTACTCCCACATCATAACTTCAACAATTACTTTGAACCTTTTATCCATTATTAACAGGAATATAATTGAATCATTGTTTTCACAAAAAGCTTTTTTGAATATATGAACATATCTTTATCTCATGCAAATTAGATTCACTCATAAGTAATAATCTACTGGATAACTATGATATAATTACTATCCTACTGTACAATTATGATATAATCCTTAGTGTTAAGTAGTCTGTAAGTCAATAATGATAAGTCGGCCCATAATGCCTACGCATAATAGAGGCTTTCTTTGCATTGCAACCCACTATTGTAAATACAAAATCTCAATGTACTATTTGCAAAGACATAAAATAAATAAATAAATTAAATAAATAAAGGGTAAAATTACTTGTTCAATTGTATAGGTTTATGATACTTTCCAAATCTATACCGAACATTTATTATTATAAAAAGTTGACAACTGCTTCGTTCACAACCATAACAATGTGAAATTCTTTGGTAAATTATTTATTTTCTATTTTCGGATTCTTTCAACATCCGAAATTTGTGAAGAGGTCTCTACGTAGATACCCATTTAAGACATGTAGGTCTGTCAATACTTAGCTAGCATATCAAGACAATTCTACATGAGATATCCCTTTGATACACAAAGCTGTTTCATAATACCTGAATGCACACAAGTACAAAACTACACTTTAAAAAATGATGAAATTAATTTTTGTCCTTTGGGAAGATTAATTTTTCTTTTGGTAACACTCTTGTGTTTGGTCGTATCTTTGGATTTTTGCTTCTTAAATGCTGACTCAGTAGCTGCACTTGATATATCACTTAGAAGAGATCTACTGCATTTCTTTTTCTTCTTTTCATTATGGCAGCTTGTAACCTCGGACATTTGCCCAATTCTCTCCTTTCCACGATCCTGTCAAATAAAACAAAGTTGCAATTCTATACCCGAATTTTAGTAGTAAAAATATAAAGAAGCTGAGACAATGTGCTTGCAGTCATTACCTAGGATGATATTGAGGCAATGATGAGATATAGTCAGGGATAATGGCTATGACAAAGATATATGTAAACTACAGTGGAACCTCAAATTTCAGCCGTAATCCATTCCAGAAGCTTGGCCAAAACTCAAATTGTTTGAAAGTCTAAGCAATATTTCCCAAAAATATTCACAAAAAATTTATTTTTTAAAGAATATAGTTTTACATACAGAAAACAATGAGAAATAAATATAAAAACTAATTTTAATGGATAAATGAATGCTTAAATCAGTTTTACATTTATTGAAAGACTCTTGTTGGTGTATGGAGAGGCAGGAGAGTTGTTTGGAGACACGACAAAATACTTAAAATGCTAATCTCAAATCACGGCTTATTTATCTGCCACAATTCATCTAATATAGGTAGTAGGTTGGTAGACAGCAACCGCCCAGGGAGGTACTACCGTCCTGCCAAGTGAGTGTAAAACGAAAGCCTGTAATTGTTTTACATGATGGTAGGATTGCTGGTGTCCTTTTTTCTGTCTCATGAACATGCAAGATTTCAGGTACGTCTTGCTACTTCTACTTACACTTAGGTCACACTACACATACATGTACAAGCACATATATACACACCCCTCTGGGTTTTCTTCTATTTTCTTTCTAGTTCTTATTCTTGTTTATTTCCTCTTATCTCCATGGGGAAGTGGAACAGAATTCTTCCTCCGTAAGCCATGCGTGTTGTAAGAGGCAACTAAAATGCCGGGAGCAAGGGGCTAGTAACCTCTTCTCCTGTATATATTACTAAATGTAAAAGGAGAAACTTTCGTTTTTCCTTTTGGGCCACCCCGCCTCGGTGGGATACGGCCGGTGTGTTGAAAGAAAGAAGAATTCATCTAATATGACATAATAAACAATATTTATTTATTTATTTATTATTTATTTATTTATTATTTATTTATTATTAATAACATAGAAACATGATATATACTCTAGAATGAATAAAACATTTCATTACGTATGTGGAGTGGTGGTGTTGGGTTCAGTGACCCTATATACCTCAAACAACAATGGAGGAGTTAGTTTCCTATCATCACTTTTCTGTTGCTTAATCGCTTAACTTACTTGCTACACTGTTAATGCTACACTTTATTGCTGGCTGGCACTATAGCCTTTATCAACTCCTGCTGCTTTATTATCGTACATATCGTAGAATCACTGAAGAAGGCAGATTCTCCCCTCCCTCTTCATCCTTCACTTTCGTACTTTGCTACAATTTCTTTCACTTGAGAAACAAAGCCACACAAAGCATCCCACTCATGCCAGTCATACCTCTGCCTTATATCTATAAACACAGTATAAAACTTTGTCCGTCTTTTTTGGGTTATCCTAGGAAATTTACATTATGTATGATAAGTGAGCTTGTGTGTGCCTGTGAGATAGAGACAGCCAAAGTCAATCTGTCTGCCTCCCCGCCCACCCGCCCGCCCGCCCGCCCACCTGCCCACCTGCCTGCCTGCCAGCCTTCCAGCCAGCCAGCCTGCTTGACTAACTCGTATTATACATTCCAGAATCATTTCTCTTCATTTAGGGCATAGGCTATAAGATATTCTAGCAGGATGAAACTACCAGAGGTATCAAAATTGAAAGGATATTGCACATAGGATATTATTGAGGTTTTTGATATTTCCTCAATCACTTGTGGCCACATCCATCTCAAAGCCACTAATCTCGAGGTCAACATCACTTTCCTCTTAAAAGGGGAGTGTTAATACAACAGGGCATTAGTGAATCCCTGGTGTTTGCCATGATGTTTGCTCTAGCTGGCGCTCAGTTCAACTGGTGTTCCCACAAGGTCTAAGTGGTCCCAGATTTTTTTAATATTGTGCACACTGAGTGTTAAAACCCATTCTATACTGATGAGTCATCTCAGGCCAATCATGCCAAATTTGGAAACGGTAAAAATAAAACGTTGATTTACCTTTGGAGCACTAGTAGTAAGAATGTATATCTACATTTGAAGAGTTAAAGGTTTAATGGAAACTCTTGGTCTGAACATCCTCTACCCATCCTAAAGGTCTTTGTTCTTTTACAATCTTACTCTCTACAATACTTAGAATTCTCTCAATAATAACTCTACCTTACACTTTGCCCTGTATACTCAACAAGTTTATTTACCTATAAATCTTACTCTTTCATCCCCTTTTCCCTTATGTATACTTTGCCAATTCCTAAATACACTTCTTTTTTTCATACATCTCCTGAAAAAGTGCACCGATCACTCCAAACTGTACTACCACCAGCGTCGTATATTGTGTGCTGGGTCAGCGCTGCACACCCACCAAAGATGGTAAATTCATCATAAATATTAAGTTCACTGAATAATATAATCATGGATCGTAATGGGAAACTAGTTTTTCCGTCCACTGTTATAAAATATTATGACAGACAGCACTGCACACCCCAAAGACAGATGTATCATGCACAGCACACACCCTGTGACAATAGCCCACAATACACAACCTGCTTCTAACATTTCTTATTTTGATCCCATCTATCCCAGCTGCTTTACCTTATTTCACTGTACACAAAGCCTCACACACCTCCCCACACTCATCTGGCTCTGCCTCATTCCTACAAGATGTTATTCCTCCCTGCCCAATGCATGAAATCACTGCCATCTTCATTAACACTGAACAACTCTTCAAAATATTCCCTCCATGTTCCCAGTATATCCACATCACCTTTTCAGTGAATTTTTAGTTGTGAATGAATATGATGCAAAGATATACAGGTACCTACCTCAGCCTGAGAAACTGATGCCACAATATCTCTCCAATGCTGGCTGTTCTTGCTCCTCGCGCCCACTGCCTTAAGTGTGCGACCAATGATTGGCGAGGTTGATACAGGACAAACATCGTCTTTGCTTATAGGAGAGAGTGTATCAGGAGCCCAGGCACACCCTGAATGGTACCTAGAAAATAATGTTTATTTATTAGGAGTTCAACATAACAAACACAGTACAAAATAGGCAATTACTGCACCTCATGTGGTGAACTCTGGGCAGTTTGGATGACTCTGTGTTATCAATCTTGCAAATCAGTTGAGAGCTCCTCACTGCATATATTTTGTTTGATACACAATTATATACACTACCCGAGATCAAATCTCAGTGAATCCCATTCAGAATGTACTGAATGACCTTTAAGGGTTTAGCACTATCACAAAAATGTAATAATAATGATACTATTGTTGGGTACACATACGACTCTCTAACTGCGGGTTCAAGCTCTGCCCATGGTATGGTTTGCTTGCAATCCCGTCATTACAATTTTGTGAGACACTGCGTCTCCCTTGTCAGAGTTTATAGGTTCAAACCTGAGGCATTAACACCAGTATATATATTTTGCCTGACCACATGGCCTGGTACAATTCTTTTTGTCTCAATAGTCGAAGTTCACTGGTTTGAGCCTACTGCGTTTGACTCATATTTTTTGGACCATAAAGATGAACCACTGGCCCCCGTGTGGCAGGGTCTGGTAACTTAAGAGAGAACTCTGAGGTTGACAGTGATCACATACAGTGGAACCTCAATTTTTGTACGCCCCAGTTTTCAGTTTTCGACAACTTTCTCTGTCAAAATTTTGTCCCAGTTTTTGTAGCGTTGACAATGGTTTGCACCAAACACGTCCGCCTCCCTGCCCGTGTCACTCGACCACTCAAGCGCCGAGTGACTCAGTCTGCCTTTGTTTATCATTGAGTGAGCATCACCCATCGCAGGAGATAGTGTTTTGGAGTCAATAATTTGCAAAAAGGCATGGCAGTTGATTGGCTGAGGCTGGCCCTGATGACTCTGAGCCTGTTGTGGAATCTATTGTATCTTTGGGGAAGTCCATGGGGTTGGATGTGAGTGGACAGGATGCAGAAGAGTTAAACACAAAGTCACTAGCATGCATGAGCATTTCGGGCAGACTAATCCTAATGCTTACAGACCACTTAAAACTAGACAGGTTATGGAGTACTGAATTCAGGAAAAGATTTGCATCCACAGCACAAACTACAGAGGTAACCACTTTAACAGTCTGTATTCTGTCTTTGTCCATGTTTGATGCTTCCAGTGAAGACACTTGCGACACCACTGGATAACTAGCAATCCATCAGTGGTGATGAGGTTGGTACCAGCCATCCTAGAGGCCAGCTTGCACCAAGTGCCAGCAAAACACCAACTATGACAACACAGATGAACTTCTGTTTCTCCAAGTTTGGTATGTCAACCCTACTTGTCCCTTAGTAGTTTAACTTGTCCCTAACAAACCTCTTTAACTCTTCCATGACACATATTCTGTTGTTAATATTGTACAGTTGAGTCTCCTCCACAACATGGGCTGGGCTGCAGTCATGTTGACCAAGCCATCAGACACTTGGCCCCTCAGTGGCATCTCAGGTAATTCCCTGGCAGTATGGGGAAGGACCAACATTCCATTTAAGGTTTAGGGAAAGAAGTTTTCAGCCAAGATCCCTGTGGTCACTGACACTTCCTTGGTGATCTCTTCGTTGGTCTCAATTATTATTATTATCACAGGGAAGTGCTAAACCTGTAGGGTTATACAGCGCATGTGGGGGGGATGGAAGGTATTCAGGCTCAATTCAGGGAACTGGAGCACAGATCCAATTCCCTAGATCAAGAGTCCCTCATCAGCATCATGGAACCTCCCTTGAGGGGGTGTTGGTCTCAAGACCATGGCAGACCTCAAGATTCCTCTTGATCCAGCTTACTGGAAAGCAAATTTTAATGGTACAGGTCGGCCATCAATAATCCGGCAATCAATCGTTCGGTTCCATCAGTAGCCCGGCACTAATTTCGGATAGCATAATTTCAAATTTCCAGGGTCGCCACACCAACCTGCTACTACTGTTTGGTGGCACTACTTGCTGCACAAGTCATTCCAATTTCTTTTTCTCCATTTATTGTTATAAGCTGCTTACTTTAAGCCCTAGCCATGGTTCCAATGAATAAAAGAAATGGTTCTTGTTGCATAAAGCACATACACAGTACATTGTCCATTAAAGATAAGGTGGCTACGAAGCCACCGTCAGTTGCCATGAGCTCAGTCTCGTGATGCAGGGGAATGTGCTTTATTATTACGTTAATATCAACACTATGGTTTATTTACCTATCATAATTGATCTAGTATGACATAGTAAACAATATAAATAACATAAAAACATGGTAAATATTCCAGAATGAACAATATTTGGCATAATACCGAGCAGTTCAACGGAGGTATGAAGAGGATATGGGATACAAGTACCATCCTCCTATCCCTGTCTTGGGGGCTTATATTAGAGAAAATGGAGTGTAACACAGGGCTGTGATATACACTTGTAATGCACCATGAAACTGAAACGAAAAAGCTATTTTCTCTAAAGAGATTATCATACATAGCAGCATGTGTGTAGAGAACCTAGGATAACCCAAAAACGTCAGAGTGACTTATTTCTGGTACAGTGGACCCTTGGTTTTCATGATAAATCCGTTCCAGAGAGTCTGCCGAAAACCAAAATTCACGAAAACCATTTTCCCCACAAGAAATAATGAAAATCCAATTAATACATTCCAGACACCCAAAAGTATTAACAAAAAATAATTTTTTTAAGAGATTAAATATAGATTTATATACAGAAAAGAATGACAAATCAATATAAAGCAATAATATCACACTTACCTTTACTGAAGACTCTTGTTGGTGTATGGAAGATGGGGAGGAGGGGAGAGAGAGGACTAATTATTGTTTGGAAGGGAAATCTCTCTCCATAAAGACTTCAGGTACCAAGTCCATATCAGGGGTTACTTCCCCTCTTTGTTTTTTACTGGCACTAGGACCGGCTTGAGAGTCACTGGACCCCTGTCGCAAAAAAATTTTTTCCAGAGAGCCCTGTCTCTGGCATCTCTAAGATTTGCCTAAAATGGGACAAGGCATTGTCAATGACCATGCTGCAGACACAACCTGCAACAGCTTTATTAAGGAGACATTTCTCCACAAAACTTTGCAACTCATTCCACTTTACACAAATGTCTTTAATCACTGAAGAAGACACCTTCTTCCTTCTCTCTTCCTCCTCCTCTAAAGCAATTTCCTCAGCTGGGGTCTGTTGCTGTTCCAGATGAAGGTCTTGCAGCTCTTCAGTGGTTAGCTCTTCACTGTGGTCATCCACCAACTCTTCCACATCTTGGCCACTCACATCCAACCCCATGGGCTTCCCCAAAGCTACAATAGATTCCACAACAGGCGTAGGGTTGTCAGGTGTGTGTGGGGAAGTGCCCTAGCTGGTGTGTGGGGAGGTACCCTGGCCTGGTGTGTGGGGAAGTGTCCTGGCTGGTGTGTGGGGAAGTGCCCTGGCTGGTGTGTGGGGAAGTGCCCTGGCTGGTGTAAGGAAGTATCCTGTCTGGTGTGTGGGGAAGTACCCTGGCTGGTGTGTGTGTGTGTGTGGGAAGTACCCTGGACGGTGTGTGCGGGGAAGTACCCTGGCTGGTGTGTGCGGGGAAGTACCCTGGCTGGTGTGTGTGGGGAAGTACAGTGGACCCCGACCAACGAAGGCATCGTCTAACGAAAAAATCGCCTAACAAAGCGTTTTAGCGTAAAAGATGAAAAACTCGACTAATAACATTCTTCCCAAACATGTCCGCTGTCTGTCCAGGCTGAGAGCGCCTCAGCTGCCCTGCCTTCAGCTAGTGTGCCATTGTTTACAAGCCAGGGCAGACGCTTTCATGCATATATGCGATATATTTTGTATTATTCCATTGTTTTTAGTGCTTGTAACTGCTAAATAAGCCACCATGGGCCCAAAGAAAGCTTCTAGTGCCAACCGTGTGGTAAAAAAGGTGAGAAATACTATTGTACCACGGTCAGCTGTTGCAGCACAACTGTCAGCTACTTCTGTACAACCGTCAGCTGCTGCTGTACCACCGTCAGCTGCTGCTGTACCACCACCATGAGCTGCTGCTGTACCACCGTCAGCTGCTGCTGTACCACGGTCAACTGCTGCTGCTGCTGCACCACCGTTAGCTGCTGCTGCACCACCGTCAGCAGTACTACTCGAAGATGTGGAGTGTGTGTTGTTGGTGTGGCTTAACGAGAAACAATTACCGAGAAACAATTAACCCCAGAGGGTTAGCCACCCAGGATAACCCAAGAAAGTCAGTGTGTCATTGAGGACTGTCTAACTTATTTCCACTGGGGTCCTTAATCTTGTCCCCAGGATGCGACCCACACCAGTTGACTAACGCCCAGGAGAACACGAAAAAATGCCTGGAACTAGTGCTCATATTGGTTAATTTAAGGCCAGCAAAGGTTGGTCTGAGAGATTTAAGAATTGTAGTAGCATACACAGTGTGATAAGACATGGCGAAGCTGAAAAATTCCAACCCCAACAAGTGTTCAATTGTGACGAAACAGGCCTGTTCTGGAAGAAAATGCCAAACAGGACCTACATTACTCAGGAGGAAAAGGCACTCCCAGGACACAAGCCTATGAAAGACAGGCTAACTCTCATGTTTTGTTGTAGTAATGCTAGTGGGGATTGCAAAGTGAAGCCTTTACTCATGTATCACTCAGAAAATCCCAGAGTGTGCAAGAAAAACAGTGTCTCATCGCTCATCAATACTCTTCAGTAAAGGTAAGTGTCATTTTAGCATTTATTTATGTAGTTATTGTGCATGTCTTATTGTTTTCTTTGTAGGGAAATGTATATTTCATGAAAAAAATTTTTTTTTTTTTTAATACTTTTGGCTGTCTGGAATGGATTAATTGGATTTCTATTATTTCTTATGGGGAAAATTAATTTGACTAACGATAAATTCGCCTAAAGATAAGCTCTCTGGAACGGATTAATATCGTTGGTCAAGGGTCCACTGTACCCTGGCTGGTGTGAGTGGGGAAGTACCCTGGCTGGTGTGTTCTTTCTTGAATTCTA